AATCTGTTACTTGACTGGAATAATTGACCATATCATACTGATTTTAAAATCGCTCTATATTGGCTGTGGAAGCTCATTTACTTTTCAGCTAATTCAATAATATGAAATAAATACTTCAAAATTCTGAATTTTGGGATAATAATTACAGAATAGATTTATAAATAAGTGGATTAGAAATTTAAAATATTAGATAATTAGATCCAATAACTTTTAAACAATAACTATTTGGCTTTTAAGCCATAAATTCACATTATCAAATAATTTTAATTTAAGGAAAACGATTATTACATATTTTATAATCGAGCTTATATATCAATATTAAGAAGTAATTAAATGTTTGATAATGTAATTTCTATTAATTCTAAATATTATCTAGCATTGATTAATTTAATTATTTTAAGTCAAATTAATTATTTAAATGACCATATCTGGAGGAATAGTCTTATAATTATGAAGATGAGATCTTTAAAACATAAAATTACTTAGATAACAATCTAATCCTAAATTTAAATATCTTTGCCAATAATGTATAACAGAATTAAAAAGCAATTTAGTATATATTTATATATTTGAGGATCTTCAATATGAATTAATTAAGTTCAAAGCCTAACAAATTAGTAAGCCAAAATCACTAAATTATAAAAATAGAGATTTAATTAAGGTGATTAAATCAAATTTATTGCTCTTAAAAAAATTAATTTTTAAATTCAATAGAAAAATACATAGATAGTTTTAATTTATGGATATAACTGATTGTCAATTATGAACTAAAATTTGAATCATACGTTTAGAAATCGTATTTGTTTCAGAAATCAAATTATAGAGCCGCATTAATAGAAAAAGTTCAAATATATCCCAAAGAAACAAAATGAGATAAAGTAAATATTTTTCTTAACCAAAGAAGTCTATCTGCTAAAGATAAAGAGATATAAATAAAGGAAGAATTTATGAGATATAATTTCTTAAGGAGAGGAATAAACACGTAAAATAAATATTTTAATTATTTTTTAAGTAATTATAACTTGGAAAGCCTCTTATCTACAAATAAAGATACTTTTTATCATATTTTAAATAAATTACTATATTATTCAGCTTATATATAAAAAGATGAATTCATTAATTATACAAAAGCAAGATTTATAAATTTAATAATAATCATATTTATAACACATTAAAATTCATAACACCCCATTATTATTTAGACTTGAATCTTAAAATAGCACAAAAATTAACAGAATTGTGGGATTTAAATTAATAAAAATTGTCTTAACAAGAAAATGATTTAATTATTTAGACAATATTATGTAAGTAAATATATTGTGTCCTTAATAATAAATATAAAGGGATTATTGAATCATAAATCGAATTCTTTCTTTTATTTATTCTTACTAACCTGAAAATATTTTCAATCTATTTTTTGTAAATAATATTATTTTAAGGATTTTTATTTTTATTATATCATTCAATTAAATTCTATGCTATCTGTTGTTTTTCTATTTAGAAAATTTGAGAATCCATTAAAGATAAGTTATTTATCTGATCTTTTAGTAAGGACTATTTGGTCCTTATGTGCTTTATAAATCCATTAGCCACTCTCCAAATGATTATTGATTTTAAATATATCTAATTAAACAATGATTTCTAAAGATGTTTTAATGATCAGTTTAAATATCATTAGAAGAGGATTTTTCTACACTAAATTCAGTTCTTTAATTGGCAATTAAAATGTATTTTTGAATATTAGATTCATTTCTCGTTTAATAGCTGGAGATTATAGAATTATATAAATATCTTACTCATCTGAAGGATTATTAAGATATTCAATATTATTTATTTAATAATTAATATTTGGTTCTTTTGATAAGAATATAAAATAGTGTTAAATTTCTAATATTTTAATAATATTGCTACAATCTCCATCATCCAATTTAAATTACTTATTTGCTTTCAATTTAGAATATCTATCAGAGGATATGATTATGATTTTTTTTTTAATTTTCGCTAACCATCATTTTTGCTCTTAATTAACTATTGTTTCTTTAATTTTACCTGATATATTAAAAAAAGTATCACTACTCTTTTATTTAGATGCTGCATAATATTGTTCATATTTTTTTTGAGCAACAATAAATCTTCATATTTCATTAATTTTTAATTCATCATTTTTTCGATATGTACTATTTCCAATTATAAAATCTAAAAAAGTTTTTCTAACATTTATACATTTTTTCATTGATATCTACTAGATGTTCTAAGGCTAAAATTCTTATTTTGGTTATCAAATATAGATATTTAAATACAAGAGTCAAAATTATAATATTAAGGTTTATTAGACTTTAAATAACACTTAATCAAATAATCTTAATAAAGAGAAAATTCTTTAATTTCTTTCAAAATCATTCTTTAAGATAATTGGTTTGTTTTCTTCATCCATCATCAAGTTTAAGTAATCATCATCTTCATATAAATCTAATTAATAAATTTGAGAGTTCATTCAATTATAATTAAATAAATATAAAACATGAAAATCAATTAAAGATTGGCAATTCATTATTTGATGAAAGAAATTCATTTATAGGTTGTGATCACAAAAATGTCAAATTCATGGCCGGCAATATATTTTTCAGAGGAGATTAGAATTTGTTGCTCCTACATCTCAAATAACCATGAGTAATAAGGCACCTATTTTATTCCCTAATTGTGAATAAGGTAGATCAAACAAAGCTCTTGTATGATTGCCAACTCAACTGCTATTGTTAGGATTTAATAAAATGCCAAAATGCTTTATTCTAATCGAACAAATTACCTAGACAATTTGTTTACACTTGTTATTGTTTGGATGTTGAAAGCTATATCAAAAGTGGTATAAAAAGGTGAGATATGGACGGTAGATACCTTGGAGTTTGTGTTAATGTGCCAAAAAATGCCATGTTGGACACAACAGGCTAAAGGAATTGTAAATGCATTCTTATGTGATTGCGGGTTAGTAAATAGTAAAGTCAATGTAAATGTGAGAAAGATGAAGAATAATAATAAGATAAATAAGAGTCCAATGAGTATTTGGTTTTTATGGGGGTAGAAATCATATGATCTCAAATCATTCCTTCATTTAGAAAATAAAAAGAATGCAAAAAGTGCAGGAAAATAGAAATCTTTTTTATAAAATATTATCAACATGCTACTTTTTCCTATTGCAATATTAATAATAAAAAATCAATTTAATGAAGCTGTTGGCTGTATTTTCACTACTCATAGAGGTCTTTAATTTGAGAATTCCATAATTTGATTCTGGAAATGCTGTGGGCGTTTCACATTCTTAAGGTCATATTTTGGAAACCCAAACATATGTTCCAAGATAGGTTGTAGTCTATGTGCAATTCTCAGTAGCTTTTGAAACAATTCCTTAAGTTTTTATTTCATAATCTAAAGTGGATAGCTATGATGGATCAATTGGATTTAATTAAAGAGTTGGTTTAATTACTCAAAAGGGGTTTCTAGTGCATTCAATCGCTTTAACTTCATAATCTCTAATTTAGTTATATTTTTATTGGATTGCTATGTGTGATGATGGTGTTTAAGTAATTACTTTCGACACATATGATGTCAAATCATTAAGAACTATAACAGGCTAAAGGGAAGTTTTATTTTAGATAGATCATAACTTTTAAGAGGCTACTCGTGGTCTAATATCATTAAATGGTTTTCATTTTTCTAACTAACTTATCTAGTAATTGAACTCAAGGTAAATTTATTGAATTTTTCTTTTAGATTGTAGAAATTACCTCGTAAAAAATAACAATATCTGGGGCATCTTATGCGCAATCATTATTAGATTATATAAGTTTTAGTGTTCTTCTTGGCACTGATTTATCATTATGGACTTCATCTCTTTATACTGTTATAAATCTTCCAGCAGATTATTTCCCAAATATTTAAATTGACTTTCCAAGTGATTATTCTAGCTATGAACTAATTCCTCTTGTCACATGGAGAGGCTATAGTACAGACAATAGATATAATTTAAGAATATGGTTAATGAATGTTGCTTTGAATACTAAAATAACATATACATTTTGGACATGTATAAAATTTATATCAATTTAGGGGGGATTCAGTAGTTTATGCTATATTCCATTCGGCAGCTATTTATGTTTTTGATGCTAATCATAAAATATTCGACGAAAATTGTTTGGAGCTCTTCTCTCAATGTGATTTCTCAGGAGAATCTATATTAGTTTGCGAAAAAATTCCTAATTTATCAATCAAGGGATGGTCTAAACCTGTCAAATCTCTAACTATCCCAAAATAGAAAACAATAAATCTGTTTACAAAAGAAAATTATTGAGGTTATAAAGAAATTATTACTGAAAACTAGTAATGTATGACATCTACTGTGTTATCAATAAACTTTCAACCTTTAGTTTCTTATATAAGATAAGAATCATTTATTTAAACAATTATAATTGTCCAACTGTTAAATTTTACAGTTAATGTAATTTTTAAGGAACATTATTTTAAATAACTAAAGGATAAATAGTACAATTATCAAATAAGATTCCATTGAAAATTAAATCTATTAATATTTGTTCAAATGTTGTAGTGTATCTCAAGAGCCCGAATTATTTCGAATCAAAAACACAAGAATTTACTACTTCATAATCTTGCATAACTAGCTATAAAGTACATACTTAATTAGATTTAATTAGTTTCCTAAATATGTATAACCAACATGAATTTATAATGCATAATTTATTTGAATAAAAATTTCATTTTAATTAATAAATTGAAATTTTAGAGAAAGATTTATCAGTACAGAGATAGTCCTTTAAATCTCATAATTCGTTTTCTAAATTTTTAAATGTCAATACAATAATTTCTGAAATTAAAGATTTTACAATTTTATTTATCCATGAATATCTAAAACCAACTAATTCGTATAACTGACATGACATAATGAGCATGACAATCTAATTTGGCTTTTTATTATCATCCCATTAACGCATAGACTAATCATCACTACCTGGTGCAAGGCTAGTTCCATCCTTACTTGAAGGTTTATTTGTCTTTAAATTCTGATCAAAGAATTTCTTGAAATTTATTCTTGTTATTATAAAGGATCAATACTAGAGACTTGTCATGAACAATTTTTATATTCATGCATAATTTATGTAGTAAGATGAAAAACAAGGTGCTTTACTATTAGTAATATTAATAGTTTTATTAAGTTCATTATAAAATTTTAAATTTTGCTACATTAAATTCCTTTTTTTAAAACATAGATTCGATAATATATATTAATCAATGATATTACTCAGTTTGGCTCAAATTCTCTAATAAATGATGGTATTTTCTTATAATTTAACATCTTATGATAGTCACTTCAAATAGTGATATCAATTTTTATACTTGTGGAGGAGTCTATTATTTTGAAAATCCTAATTATAATTGGAGAACTATTAGCAGAATATTTTTAGATTTAGAACCTCATTCTCATCTTATAGTGTATGTAAGATTTCTTAGGTAATTATATGTTTAATTTCAAAAGTGTTACTTCAGTAATTTACGATATTTTTTTTGGAAAACGTACAAATGGGTTAGGTTATAAGCGCTATCATTGTGTTGGTGAATATGAACGTATTAGTACTATAACTATGAAACACTACATTGGATTTATATGGGATTTTATGAAGGAGGATTAAATTAGTTTAAATTAAGTATCATTAAATGTTAATATGAATGTGACGGATGCATTTAAAATTATCAACAGTTTTGTTTAAAATAGAAGCTGCATTAATATTCATTTTTTTAGAAATTGATCACAAATTTTGATGGATGGACTTTTGTATCAGCTCATTATTATTAGACTGATATCATATGTGGAAATTGCTAATATGTGAAATTAACTGAAATTAATTATTCTGCTATATTAAAATCTCATTAAGATGTATTAATTAGGTTTTGTAAACTTAATACTTTTAATATGATAGTTGATTATTTAATTGGCAAGTAAACAATTAGTTCTGAAAAGTATAATTAATAAATTGATAATTTTTGAAATGATGATTAGTTCTATAAATAGAAATATTAATCAAAGGTCATCATGATCCTGGATGAATTTCTAGAAATTGTAATCCATTTTTTTGTGATGGAATCATTAAAGCTTAAGAAGAATATGATGACAACAATCAAATATCAAATGATTCTTGTTACTAATGTAAATATTCATGCAAAGACTTTTGTTAAATTTCCTAATTTGGAAGTTGTTCATAATATTAAGATGGAATTTAAACTTAATTAGAAATGAGGACTAAAAATTTTAATGAAGGTTGTGTTTAGTGTATATTGATGATAAATGCCTACTATGCTAAGAAGGTTGGGCTTAAGATAAATTTCTAGAAATTTGTCATCCAATTTGTAATGGAATCACTCAAGGCTATTGCTATTTATGCAAATATTCTTGTATCAAATTTTGTTTAATTTGTTAATTTGGATCCCTTATTCAACTGAATAATGTGAATTGGCAGTTAATGGGATATGGGATGGTTGTCATGATTGCAGATCTATATTGATTGACATTGTAAAATAAACAAATTTCAATTTGTTTAGAGTGTGAAGTATGATTTTTTATGATAGACAACATATGTTTCCCTAACTGTTGAGATAAATTCATCCTTGAATAGACTGCGATGACAGTAATTATTTGATGGTTGCTTTAAATGTGAGTTTAAAGGCAGTAAAGATTGCAAATATGTGATAAAGGATAATGCATTTTAAAATATGAAGATGGATATGAGCCACAAAAGAAGATGATTTTGATGATGGTAATTTGCAGCCTTATGATGATTACTTTAATTGCTTGTATTTTTGTCAAAAAAAATGTAATGAATGCTTTCAAGGTACTTGTTTAGAGTGCAATTATTAATACGAATTACTAATCTCAAACTAATGCAAATAATAATTAAATTGTGGAGATGGATTTCTTTAGGAAAATGAGGTATGTGATGACGATAATTATTACGCAATTAATGGATGTAAGAATTGTTAAATTGAATTAAATTGGATATGCACTACAATTACAAAAGATTCTTAAATAGCGCGTATTTGCCAAGGGCCATCTTCATATAAATTAATTTAGTGAACAAATTGCCTTTTCTCTAAGAAGTAAGGAAATTGAATAAGAGAAAGAATAATATTTTTCACTCTTTATATCTTTATTAAAAGATTAGAACTAAGAGTCATAGATTTTGTGTTTCAGAAAAACTTCAAAAAAATAATGTTTAGAATAGGCATAATTCACATTAAGCTTTCATCAATCAAATACAGGTTCAACTAGGAATGAGTTAATAATAAACAAAAGAATGAAGGAAAAATCGATAGAATTTTCTTGATTTTGAGAATATCATAAATTGAAGAGTAAAAAAAAGGTTTTGGTAGAAAGTGAAGACAATAGAACAATCTTTGGAAAGTAAAAACTAACATAAGAATTTTAATAATATAAAAGTCATTAATGATACGATATGGGAAATTATTTTTCATTCCAACGTTTCTTAAAAAAAAAATAAACTAAAGTTTATGAACATTAATTTTTGTTGCTGAAATGGGTATTTCTAAAGGCATAATTTTTTTTCTAATCAAACTGTTCAATCTGGCATGAAAGAACCAACTATTTTTAAATATTAAATATTTCTTGTTTAATTATCTCAACTCTCAATAGAAAACTTTTTATCATTTGTATATGTTTATTTTTTATATCTCAGAAGGTATTAAATTCTATTGATCCTTTAAGTTCTTTTCGGGCTCTAAAACTTACCTCCATGATTCCTTATTGATATTTTTAATTTTTAAAAGCTGACCCAGTATAAATTTAAATGTTGATATAAAGATTGAAGTAGATGTCTGATAGTGTTATCATCAGTATCATAGTATATAATAAGGATATAGTAATAGATTAACATGAACCTCTTTTATTAAAAATTTAAGATTGGAGCAAATTATGAAGGAGAGTAGATAGAAAAAGAGATATGAGAGAAGTATATATATGGTGAATGGTTTAATAATAAAGTTTTTGGAAAAGGGTAATTTTATAATGTGGATGTTGATTATTCAGAGCCAATAGATATGGAATATATAAGTGGAGTATGGAGTGGATTATTAGAAGATGATATTTGAATAAAGGTTATGAAAAGTATTATTGGTTAGATGAGGCCTTAATAGGGAGCAAATTATTATTCATTGTTATTTAGATCTTAAATAAATCACTGTTTAAATAATCTTTGGTTTGATTAAGTAAGAAAACTAGATGCAATATTGATTTTGCCATACCATCTAATACATTCAATATCGCTATGAATCAATTGCTTTCTTTGATTAAAAGATTTGAGTTAACATCACTAGGTGAACATATTACATCATATGTTGAAAACAAAACAATGATTTTTATGATGGAAATATTTTCTCTAAT